TTGTAGAGTAATAGTAAAGACAAACAATGATAGAAGAACACAGAAACTATTCAGAATAATGCTACACCCCTTATAAGCTCCTTCATTCACTCAAACTTTCCATACTTATGATACTCTATAGTTTTTTTATGTGACATATGAGAAAACACCATTAATTTAAACTACATTTGCACTATTTACAATAAAATCATTAATATCCATGAACCTCATCAAATATTTGCATACAATTTTAATAAATTTGTCAATTTTCACATAAATTATCACATGTAAATAATTTACTATTAGCATTCATTCCACAATACTTTATCTCTCAACTTTTGTCGAATTAGAGGTTTCCAATTGTTGTTAAATGTAATAAAAAAAACTTGGTTATAGTAAGTGTTTTTTATGCTGTCAACAAATGGTTAGAAATAATTTTTTTTTGTCAAAAAATAATTTTTGTTGGTTAAAAAACAAGAATGGACGTATGAGTAATTAAGGGGTGAGATGGACACGTGTCAGAAAATGAGAACGGTATCTTTTGGGAAAGCATGTAAAAAGAGTAATGGTCCCCTCAGACTCCAACCTATAACCCTACCAAAAATCCTTTTCTTTGTTCCATCACATCCGACTACCACTACTCACACTACTACTCGTTTTTTTGCTACCGTGCACCTGTTTCCCCCCGGCGTATTTTATCATCTCCCCGCGCTATAATCAGGCAGACAAAACTTTCACTCTTTTATGATTGACTCTAGTCACTCTCTCCCACCTCCCCATCTTAGCATATATACAAATTAGGCAACCACATATTACCTCTTACATATGACGTCACTTCCGCCTATCTATAATAATACTGTATTATTTTATTGATAAATGTATATATTGTAAATAGTTAATAGTAAATAGTGTCATACTAATAATGCATTCGACAATTCTGAGTTGTAATTGTAATAGTTTGAAAGGAGAAATTTCGTAAGAGATGTAACATATACATCATCATTAAGTCAATACTACATTGTATTTTCTTTTTAAGTTACATCATTTTTTCGAATGATGTAAAAAAGTTTATGAACACATGAATTTCTACACTATGGAAAATTCAAATCTACATTTGGCTGTTTTCTTCTTCTTCCTTTTTTTTTTTTGCTTTAAATTGCGTTGTATTGTTATTAGCCAAAATTTAAGAACATAAACTACACTAAACAGAATGTTCAAGAAATCATTAATGCGGTTAGAGTAGTAATTAGTTTAGAGACAGAGAAGAAAACAGCCAACGTGGTAGGTTTGATTTACCAAATCAAGAAAAGCAGGTTTTGATAGGAGACTATTGGTGGGCCTTGGATGGGCCTGCTATGTAAATCAGCCGGATCGACCGTGGGAAATCTGACTTTTCTTTTGTTCGATTCCGAAAGATCGAGAAAAATATTAACATCGGTGTCTATTAATTACTTGACCGTTTGTTTGCTCACTATAGTTGTCTTTATACTCAAAATTTGATACAAATCTAGTGGTTTGTGTTTTTAAGTTTGGGTTAGGCATGTTTCCAGTCTCGAATATTGAGATCTATCTATGATTAATCACATAGAGTCATGAAGACATTCACGGTTCAAGATTATGAGTACATAAGTTCATATCTTCTTTTATGAAAACTGGTTGGGTTGTCAAACTACCAAATACATATGTACAATGTTCAATATAAAAGATCTTGAGTACATTCAAATTCATCTGGTACACTTAGTAAAACTGGTTCATAGTTTGAGTCGATTTTTTTTACAGAAATTATTATTAAAATGTTGTAATACTTACAAAGATTTTTGCTTATAAGATACGTCAGCCGAAAAACTAATTTCTCTGTCCACAAATGCAAATATAAATTTGTGAATAGAACGTATAAATGTTTTTGTTTGCAAGCGTGCTATTCCGCAGAAAATCACTGCCCACCAGCCAAAGTTCACTCGATCGGTCACTCAAATCTATAATCTTTTCTATTTTTAATAGCCGCATGCAATAGGTAGATTTGAATCCGAATTTATGACAATAACACATATTATTAGAGTGCATGTCTTGATTAATCTGTAAACCGAATTTTTGAAACCTTTGTATCCTCATAGCAAATTCGTTACTACATAACATTGCATGTCCCTCGAGACCTAACAGTAATATCCAGACACAACCATCAAAGTTATATAATTCTGGACTTATGAATCACATCAAAATGATAAAAAAAAGTAAAAGATATACTGTATTAAATATAGAATGTGGAACAGAGCAAAGACAGTAAATATAAAAGTAAATGCTGAGGGAATCAGAGAAAAGTATAAGGAAATAGAAAAAAAATAATAGTGAGGGAAATGACATGACATATGAGTTGTCAAATTGAGGCAGATCCTTTCTCTGATCTTCCCTCTGCCATCTCTTGCCTTTTACCTCATGTGCTTCCATCCCCTCCGGCTTTTTTTTTTCTTCCTCTCTCTCTCTCTCTCTTTAATTTCTTTTTTTCTCTTTTTACTATTTATGATACTTTTTCCACACAACTTCTTTTAATTAGGACAAAAATAATATTTTCCATTTAGATACATCCTTACATTTAAGGGAAATGGGTTGGAAAACAAAATTTGTCTTTTGTGGTTGTAAAATTTATTTATTCTGGCAGTTAATTAGACTAATTTAATCAATAAAACAGTTTTCTATAACTTAATATATTCTTTTCTCAAAGTTTTATTTAATTATAATGTATAACTTACTTACTCAAAAGTGTTTATGTATATTAGGGTTTTTTATATGTTGTTGTTATGTGCGTAGAAAAAATTGTATATTTTTGGTAAAGTCATACAGGACACAGGTATCAGTATCATGATCTTCGAAAAAGACATTTGTTGAATGGCACTTTGATATTGTAGAACGTGTGTGTTGAAAACAAAACAAAAATCATCGAAAAAAATAATCATTATTTCTACAATGAAGAACAAGTGTACTATTTGACGTTTTCGCTTTCTTCTCCTAAAGAGAAACCATTTTTAGCTTACAACTTACTTATTTACAAGGTACAGCTTGTATTATTCATGATAACTAGACTAATATCCGCACCTGTGTGTGGGTTTTTTTAAATAAAATATATTTTGTTATAAAAATAAAATATGTCAATGTGAATTTCATACTTATAAAACTTTTCAAATATAATATATTTGTTGAATTCATTTTTACCGTATCCAATAGGTGAAAGATATACTGATAATAGGCTCGGCCGAAATGATGAACTTGGTGTCTAGACTTGTCTAACGACTTCCTACCTAAATGTTCCTCGATATATGGCGGACTTCCCAATGAGTGTGAGCATATCTACTCTCTTTAAGCGTCTCTCGGATGGGACAAATCAAAGAGAAATGTGTATAAGGAAAGAAGAAGAGGTCAAGGTTGAGAAGAAAAGCCGAAGATCTCCCAAGCATCCCTCGGAGACGAGAGGCTGAAGATCCTCTAACGTTCCCTCAAAGGAGCGCCAACTAAGATAAGCATTCACTTCTTTTCTATCTCTTTACTATATCCTCATTAAAAGAGAGCTCTACCTCCACTATCTCAATGGTTCATACATTTCACATTTTTCTTTGCCAAATGATAGAAGAGTATCACGATCCTTGGACGGGATATCCAAACTATAAAGCAATCACCATCCGTCCGCCCTCTTGATTATCTGTTCACTGCGGGACGTAATCTAAATTGTGCATCAGAGAATTTTCGGGAGGAAAACCTATTTTCGATCTCTTAAAGGCCCGATTCACCCATTGCGAATGTTTGCAGGACCCAAAAAATTTCTCATCCAGGGAGTATATATCGCTCAATCCTCGAGGCCTAATCTAAGAGGCTCAGTTGTACTACTCGGACGAATACACACATCCCCGTAAAAAATTCGTAATTTTCTCACAAACATTATTACTTCACAAATATAATAATTGAGTTTTTTTATATCATATATATATATAGTTGTATAAAGCTATATTTTGTATATTTTAGTTTATGGTATCAATTAATTTATAACACTATATACTATTTTTGGAGAGATCTATCAAACATAATGATGATTTTATTTTAATAATTATTAATTTTTATTTTACTTTTAAAATACCATCAAATAGGACTATTATACATATTATGCAAATAATAGTTTATTTTCTTTCTTTTTTATATTATTTTATCGTCAAATTACAACTATATCTTATTTTTAAATAAATATATGTTTGTTATGTAAATGGTTCATTCATCATCAAAGTTTCACGAGCATTATCAATTTTGTTTTTCTTTTTTGCTAAAAATTGCATTGAGAAATCATTTTTTCGTTTTTCACAGTAAAAAGAAGTAGTTTTCTCTGGTTTCTTTATATCTTAAATTATTTTTATCTTAAATTCAATTAAATTTTATTATTTAAAATCATAAATAAATAAATGTTTCATATTCTATAAATTGCAGTTTTATATCTAACTAATGAAATTTATTTAATAATAATTATTTATTGGATTGTTTTAATTTTAGTTAGCCACTTGTCACTTCTAAAATTAATCTAAAATGCTGATGTGTCATGATGCTGGAGAGGATTATTTCCTATTCATATATTCAACTTGAAGATGTGCCAATACATATAGGATTATTTCCTATTCATATATTCAACTTGAAGATGTGCCAATACTTTTTTTTTTTTTAGATGTGCCAATACTTGAAATTAACTTTTAACGATCTAAGTTATGATAAGTTATATGATGACCAAAACGTTGAAAGACTTGAAAAAAATCCAACCGTGTACAGAAAGCTAGCACATGATTCTTGTAGAGTTGTGGTAGCTGGAACGTCATTCTCGTAGCTGAGTTTTAGTAGAAAGTCTAATTGAGGAAATTCTATAAAAATGTCGTGAGCATAACTAAATAGTAAAATCCTCTCCTTTATCACTTGCTTGGGCTTTAAAATCACACAACCTTAATGAAATTACAATTCATTTTCTTTTACTCTGAAAGTCTGTGGACATATAGGTCCCAAAACTGATGTTGATATGAGGAAAGTAGAGCTTTTATAAAGAAAGAAGAATCGTAACTTGGCCCAATGGCCCATTAGATATTGGTTGGGCAGATAACGGGCCTATCTGACTTATTAGCAGAAACTGCCATAACCCATAACAACGATATGATATAATGGAAAGAAAAAAAAAACAAACAAATCACTCTCAATCGCAAAAAAAGCATGAAAAGGGAATCCTGCTGACGATAAATAAAAAAGGAAATATTTTCCCAAAGCCACCAGAAATTTTCCCGAGAAAATTTAGGGAAAATCCCAGGGCGGGAAAAATGTTTTTCTTCTTTGTCTCTCATATTAAAATTTCAAAAAAGAAAAAGAAATAACAATGACATCCTAGAATTGGTGTCTTCATTAAATGACACACTTGATGCTTTTAGTTCTTCAGACGCGGAAGTTTTTGCCGGAGAAAGTCTGGCCAAACTGCCACGACGCAGGAGCGACGTTCCAGGAGGTGGATGAACGGCGATCGGAGGCGGTGACTCGGAAAGAGAGAGATTGGCCGGTGAGGACGGCGTTAGATTGCCAATTCTGTCCCCAGTTACGACTCATCCTCACCCAATCCGTCTTTGATCCCTTTACGCTCACTCCGGTGATGTCTCCGGCGCCGGCGACGTTTGTTATCAGAACCAGATTAAAGTATCTGAATCCGTTTACTGTGAATCGTATCCCTCCTAGCTTCCGACAAGGTACCCTGAAGAGGAACAGAGAAGAAACAACATATTCAGACAAATAATTAAACAACAAGACAAGCGAAGAAAGAGATAGATGGATCTCTGAGTTACTGTGGACACATGTCCTGCTTATTTTCCCGAGAAGATAATGACATAATATATATATATATATTCACATGTATAATAAATATCTAAATTGCCTAGAGCAAGAAAAAAAAACAAATATTGAAAGAGATGTTTTCAGTTTCTGCAGTCTGAAACCATTGGCCGTTTTCCAAAAAGTGCTACAACTCCTAGAGGAGACCAAACATAGGGATAATAATATGTTAGATATTTTTAAAAATCAAATTAACGATAAACCGTTGTAGTATTTTAATACTATACTTGTATAATAATAATACACCGTTTCTCGTGTGTCAAATTAATCTCCCTAACACAATCTAAATTTGCAAACTCAGTAGACACCATTTCTCTTTTCTTAATAGTTGTTAAAAAATTATTCACCATGTTAATTTGATTTATCTACAGCTAAATTCCGTTTTAATTGTTCTATATTGATTGGCCAAACCATGGAAGCCGACAAAACCAAAACGGCGCAGAGAGAGAAAACTAAAAAGCAGAAAAAGCAGAGAGAGAGAGTGACCTGCGATAAGAGACCGGGACAATGCCGGCGCGGTACAGACCAATCTTGAGGAACATCGGCATGGCGAGGTCGAAGTGCTCTCGGGGCGGATTGCACCATCCTCCGTTGTCGCTAGCCTGCGCGAAATTCGGCGGACAAAAGTTCGTCGCCGTCACGAGAATCGACGGATTTCCAGGGACACACCATCTCGGGTCGTCCGTACACTTTAACTCGAAGCAAGCGCCGCAACTAAAGCCGTTGTTGAACAGAGCAGTGCTCAGCGCCGCCGTGTTCACACCGTATCCTTGGCTGTATAAATTCCCGTAACCACACGCGCCGCCTTCACAAGAACCACAAAAAGAAAGAGACGAAAGATTTAGCTAGGAATCATATTGTAACTTAACTATATAAAATGAAATCTGATAATGGTTGGTGAGTTTGGTAAGATAGTGAATACCCATGGTGCCGGAAGCATCACTGCCACCGTAGAAAGTGGCGTGTGCGTTCTGCCATGGACCGCCGGTGTAAACGCCGGGGATTTTGGCGTTTGTAGCGGCTAGCAGAAAGGAAGCCGTAACGGCCAACCACAAGCGGATCCCAAACGCAGTCGCCGTCATTGAGATATTAAGAGAGAGAGAGAGAGAGAGAGGTGTGTTGTGTGTGTATTGGATAGGTCTGAGAGAAAGCGGGAAGGTCGAATGGTATTTATGGGGACCGAGTGAGGAGGCCGGTTGAATTTTTTTAACCTCACAGTAAAATTTAAGGTCCTTTTTCTGTAATTCTCGAGGTTTATAGGGTCTGAAAGTAATAATAGTATTGCCTACCATCTCACTTGTCTATTGGACTGTCCATAAAAACCAAACTGAGCTGAAAACTCACCGAACCTAAACCAAATCAAATTTCATCTCTTTGTGTACTTTTGTCTTTTATTTTTACAAACCACTCTGCACATTTGATTATGATGTTATGTGCTTCTGTTTCTATTCGCCATTATCTAGGCATGCACGTTATATACAGTTAGTTGCAGCGCAGGTTAACAAACGGATTTTTCCTGTATATTAATTTTTGTGTGAACATATCTTATAAATGAGCTTTAAACGAATCGAGCGTCACATTAAGAGCATGTTGGTAGATGAGGTCCACATGCAAATAAATATACTAGTATTAGTTTTGCAGCATTACATATATTGTTTATTTATGTTTTTTTTCTTTTTCTGAGCAATAGTAAAGTTGTATTAAATGGATGCGATAGGGCCGCAAAAGTTGAATGTCAAGCTTCTTAAGTTATCGTAGTATTATATAAGCATGTGGGATTGTCTATGATATAATTGTTACACAACTTCTATCTTCCATGTGAGTTTGTAAGTTTAAAGGGTCCGAATTGATAAATTCAGAGCAGCTCTGTGTTACTGTTGTTTACAATTATTGAGGTCACTATTCCGAGTACGCTCCAAAAAAAGTACACTTTGTTTTTCTGTAAGGACTACAGTCTCATATGGTGAGATGAAAAAAGTATAAAGAAAATATACATATATAATTCTAGAAGGCTATATAGTAACTTTTTTTAGCAGTTAAGGAAAATTATGTGAAAGATATGTAACTGGATTGAAAACTACACACATGTAAAAATATATTAAAATATAAAGCAAACAAATAACTATATAGTGAACGATTGGACTTAAAAGATGTAAAATTCTGGATATTTCTCTAAGTCTTTAAGTTTCAACTCGAAAGACCTAAAGCAACTATAAGATAACTATTTTCTTTACAGAAATACAACAATCTACTAGATAAACGGTCTAATTTATTCAGCAATAGCTAATGATGTGAAAATCACTCACACCTTCAAGCACCCACAAAGTGTATATTGCAGTTCCGATTTGGTAATGGAGTGAAAGCTTCTTTAACATGGAAGCAAATATTAATCTATTGATTAAAGAGAACTGTTGTCTTTTTAATATACAATCATATGCAAATGATGTACATGAGTTCGCTTACGGTCATTGCCAACATAGTTAAGGTGTCTTACAAGCTTGAGCTATACCTAGCACTAGTTGATCTATCCGATCTTTCATGTAAGCATTAAAAACATTAAAATGACAAAAAACGAAAATAAAAATTGCTTATAAGTTGGGTTGAACATTGAAATTTAACATTTAAATATTTTAAACGGAAACTAAGTTATAAATATAAATCCAATTTTCATGAAACATAGAGAGGTTTGATTTTGAATGATTTCGCAGTATAGCATGGTTTAAAGCTAACAACACAAGCGATAAGCGATGGTTCTATGTTTGCCTAAGCATATATTAAGGTAAAAATGAAGTTTATAACCACCGTTGGTTCTATGTTTACCTAAGCATACATCAAATGGAGGAAATATATAATTTAATAAGTTAAGAAAATTGATCTAAGTCTACTAGTCTAGAGAATTTTGTTTAAAAATAAGGTTTAAACTTTAGTACAACGTAGTTGGGGGAAAATAACTTTAGTACTACATCATACTTAAAATACTGCTTAAGGTCTAAAATACATCATAGTTGGATAAAAACTAATAATAGAATCTTATTAAATGTGTACTGCCATTACATTTGTGCTAATTGCAATTTAAAAAAGAGATTTGTAAGCTTTACTTACTCTAATGACGACACGTGTCGATCAATACCCGATAAGAAAAGCACATTTTCGCTATTGTCAAATGAAGCACGACGACAGGTCCCCACAGAAAAACCTCTTTAAATAAATATTTTAAAACCCTCCAACAAGATCAACGGCTACGATTGGTTTTCCTTTCCTCGGAGAAAGACCTTTTGATTTAAATATAAAAAATGAGTTTATTCCGATTCCTTTCTCTCTCCCTCCCTCTCTTTCTCTCTGGTCCCCTCCACCCTCTACCTCGTCGTCTACTACTCTCTCTTCTTTTTCCTTCTTCCTTTAGTCATCTTCTTCTTTAACTTCTCAATCGGATTCAAATTCGTTTTGGAAGAATCCATATGATTACTGATCCAGGTCTAAACGGGCTCTCGGGTACGATCAATCGGACCCGTTTACCCGATCAATCCGCGTCGTCACTCCCGAATCATAGCTTCACTCCGGTAACACTATTCGACGGCTTCAATTACAATCATCTCTCGGACCATAGGAACACCGTCGTGACATCAGCGCCGGAGAATTACGTTTTTACGCGGGAAGAAGATGATCCGGCGGACGACTTCGATTTCTCCGACGCCGTTTTAGGGTACATTAGCCAGATGTTGATGGAGGAAGACATGGAGGATAAAGTCTGTATGCTACAGGAGTCTCTCGATCTCGAAGCCGCAGAGAGGTCGCTCTACGAAGCCATCGGTAAGAAGTATCCTCCTTCTCCAGAGCCAAGCCTAGCTTTCGCCGAGCGAAACAGCGAGAACCTTGACCATGTCGTCCCCGGAAACTACGCCGGAGATCGTATCGGCTCAGGCGGGTTTATCGTCGGGAACGGTGGAATCAAGCCTCGGAGTGGTTTCACCTTGGATTTTCGGAATCCTCAGAGTCTTTCCTCGGTTCTAAGCGTTCCGCAATCTCCGTATAGCTCTTCCAGTGGCTTAATCAACATCTATGGAGATGGATTAGAGGAATCGCCGAATGATTTGTACCCTGATGTGAACCGGGAGAATCAATCTGTATGGCTGTTTAGGCATGGGATTGAAGAAGCTAGCAGGTTTCTTCCAGAGCAGGACGAGTTGATTGTGAATTTCAGAGATGAGAACAGTAGGAACAGCAAAGGAAGGAAGAACCCTAACCGAGACGAGATCGTTGTGGAAGAAGAGAGATGTAGCAAACTACCTGCAGTGTTCCCTGAAACCATTTTGAGATCAGATGTGGTGGATAAGATCTTGGTTCATGTCCCAGGTGGAGATAGCATGAAGGAGTTTGATGCGTTGCGTGAAGTACTGAAGAAAGGAGTGGAGAAGAAGAAAACCTCAGCGCCTCAAGAAGGTAAGAGGCGAGCGAGAGGAAGAGGACGAGGGAGAGGAGGAGGAGGAGGGCAAAACGGGAAAAGAGAAGTTGTGGATTTGAGAAGTCTTTTGATACATTGTGCTCAAGCTGTTGCAGCTGATGACCGGAGGTGTGCGGGTCAGTTGCTGAAACAGATACGGCAGCACTCTACGCCGTTCGGCGACGGGAACCAGAGACTGGCTCACTGTTTTGCTAATGGTCTCGAGGCCCGGTTAGCCGGTACGGGAAGCCAGATTTACAAAGGGATTGTGAGTAAACCGAGATCCGCTGCAGCCGTGCTTAAGGCTCACCAGCTTTACCTCGCGTGTTGCCCTTTTAGGAAGCTCTCTTATTTCATAACCAACAAGACTATACGAGACCTTGTCGGGAAGTCTCCGAGGGTTCATGTCATTGATTTTGGTATCCTCTATGGTTTCCAGTGGCCAACTCTTATCCACCGCTTCTCCATGTATGGTTCACCCAAGGTTAGGATCACCGGTATTGAGTTTCCGCAGCCCGGTTTTCGCCCGTCGCAGCGGGTAGAAGAAACCGGTCAGAGGTTAGCGGCGTATGCCAAACAGTTTGGTGTGCCGTTCGAGTATAAAGCGATTGCTAAGAAGTGGGATGCGATTCAACTTGAAGATCTTGATATCGACAGGGACGAGATTACTGTTGTTAATTGTCTGTACAGGGCTGAGAACTTGCATGACGAGTCGGTCAAGGAAGAGAGCTGTAGAGACGCTGTTCTCAATCTGATAGGGAAGATCAGTCCCGATCTTTTCGTCTTTGGCATTGTGAACGGTGCGTACAACGCTCCGTTCTTTGTGACGCGGTTCCGAGAGGCTCTCTTTCATTTCTCCTCGATTTTCGACATGCTTGAGACGATCGTGCCACGGGAAGACGAAGAGAGGATGTTCCTTGAGATGGAGGTGTTTGGGAGGGAGGCGCTGAATGTGATTGCCTGCGAAGGCTGGGAAAGAGTGGAGAGGCCTGAGACGTACAAGCAGTGGCATGTCAGAGCTATGAGGTCAGGGCTGGTGCAAGTTCCGTTTGACCCAAGCATCATGAAGACGTCTCTGCATAAGGTCCACACGTTCTACCACAAGGATTTTGTGATCGATCAAGATAACCGGTGGCTCTTGCAAGGCTGGAAGGGAAGAACCGTCATGGCTCTTTCTGTCTGGAAACCAGATTCCAAGGCTTGATCTGATTGCTAATGCAAAGCATACAAGAAACCATCTCTTTTGTTTTACTCCTGTGGTACAGGTTCGATTCATAATCCGATATCCTAAAGAAATGCTCTCTGATTCATTCTAGGCATTTTACTGAGACTGTGTCATCTATTTTGCAGATGAAAGAAGAGAGTGTCGCGGCTCGAAGAATTTGTTTAAAAGATACTACTATTGATGTAAGTCACGTATAATGACTTTCTCAGCTAGGTTCTCCTAACGTTATTCTTGTAGCTAGGGATGATCAGAGAGTTTGTATATTGCTAGCAGAGTTAACTTGTCTAGACTGTAACACGTATAACGGTATAAGAGGAAGCTTAGAGAAACTATGGTTTTGAGAGGAGGTTTTGAATTCTCCAATGTACACACACGAGGACCAATGCTACATTGAAATAAGATGTTTTTACTCCTTTATATTCGCTAATTGCTATACTATTTCTGGAAAACTCTTGAGCTTGGAATCTGAGCTCCTAGTTAGTAGTTGTGGTCCCTCATTGCCATTTGCGAGTTTTGATGATCTCTAAATATATTTCAAAAGCTTTTTGATGTTGCTTAGAATCTCGGGCAAGACCCCCCTCTTGAGAAATAGAATAAGCCGGTTCAGACAAGACAAAGAAACTCACATCCCTCACAGTGTCTAATCCTATGACTCTGCTACAAAGGACAAAGATAGAAAAAAAACCACTAAACAGAAGATTCAGAACCTAGTGGTTACTTGAGCGAAAAGTGCCTTGAAATCCTTTGTTGGTGTGCCTGTTCCTTCTGGCTTTGAGGCCAAGTCAAGTGCTTTGGATTTTGCTTCCTCAAGCTGCAACGCCTGCTCGAATAGGACACACCATGGATTAGTAGAAAAGAAACTGGTGTATTCAGTTTATGAAGCCATTTTTTTGTACTAATTGAACACACCTGAACACAGACTTCTGCAACATCAGCCCTTGCGATTGTTCTTGTTTCTGTCTCGAGAAGCTCGTCGTTTTTGCCGACGAGTAACTCTCGAATGCCACCTTCCTTGTCCTGCAAACCACCCGCCCTGAATCCAGAATATGAATGAATAATACTGTTAAGATGAGGATCCTCCATTTGCAATTTGCATCAGGTAACTACAAAAATTACCTGATGATGGTGTACGGAATACCGGAATCAACCAAGTACTGCTCTGCTTTCCTCTTCCAAACCTACAAATTTTTCAGAATGTTGATGATGCTTAGAAGATTATGAACATTTTGCTGTGACACTCATCATCTCTCTGTGTGATCATGAAAAAGCAAAGGAAAAAAGGAATCACCAGAATGTTGGCATTGCCAATACTATTCAGTGGGTTATTAATGTTTGTTCCTCCCATCGACCCGACTAACACAATCTGCTTAACTCCTGCAGCCTTCGCTGTTTTAGCCAAAAGACGAAGATCATCAACATTTTGGCTTAAACACTCCCATACAAAAAAATAAAATCCAAGAAAATGAATACACAAACCAGCGTCTATCTGATTCTTCTGACCAATCCAATCAACCTGAAAAAACAAACATAAAGATCAAAACCAAAACGAGAATGGAGAAATCCACAAGAACAAGTTGTTTCTCACCTGTTCTGGATAAGCTCCTTCTTCAAAGTAGAACTCAGGTCTGCCTCCTTTACTAGGATCAAAACCGGGTTTCATTTGCGGTACAGCGCTCGTAAGGATGACCAAAGCATCGATTCCTTGGACGGCAGAAGCAATGGCTGCAGGATCTCGAATATCTCCGATGAGTACTTCATCTTCTCCGCCCATCTTCTCCTTGCTCTCTTTTGTCCTCACTAAACCCTTCGCTACAAACTGATCCGACCTCTCCTTCAATTTCTTGTACACAATTTGCCCTGACATTGTACAAACCCATCAACATTGAAACAGTCTGTCTTATGGAATCGCACATACCAAATTGTAGAGAGTAACGAAATCAAAATCATCTGTGAGAGAGAGAGAGAGAGAGAGAGAGAGAGAGAGAGAGAGAGAGAGAGAGAGAGAGAGAGTGAGAACCTGTTCTTCCACCGGCACCGGTAACGAGAACGGTGAGAGGATCAGCTGTTGCGGCGGCGGATACAATGACGGATACTCTTCTGAGCTTTTCGGTAAACTTCCTCCGACCACAAATCGACGGCGAATCAGAAACAAGCGAGCGAAATTGGAGAGACGACGAAGAAGACGAGAATTGGGAACGAGGAACTGAGACGAAGGAAGAAGTTACAGCTCCGGATTTGTAACTGTTAGCAGGAAGTAATGGATGGAAGAATGTCGTCGTCGTCGTCATCGCCATTGACTGAGGTTTGGTAGCTCAGACGATCACAAGAGAGTGAGTGAGAGAGACGCACCTTATCGCGTTTCTCCGATTTTTGCCACGTCACCTTATCTTTTGAATTATTTGATTTAATCATTTTTTTTTTAATTTCCCATGCGAAGCTCGAAACGGCCTGACTTTATTTAATTTGGGCCAGGGCCTATATCTTTCATTTGGAGAATTTGATTAATTAACTCATTAAAGGGCTATTTACAAAATTACAAAGCAGAGATTATTAAAAGAAAGCGAAAACAAGGAGGTGTTATTGGTTATTGTATTTTAATAGATTTGAGAATCCAAACCAAATTTAATGTTATTGGTTCTTGTATTTTAAAATTTATATTGAAATATAGTGTTATTGGTTCTATGATTTTAAAATCCATAATAAAATACAGTGTTATTGGTTCTATCATTTTAGAATCTAAATATTATAAGGATTTGAGTTTTAATTGAATTTGAATAGATTTAAAAGGATTTTCATGACTAAAATACAAAGACCCAAATACAAGGTCTAACTTTGGTATTTGAGTGGATTTGATTTTTTTCCATTTTGCTGATTTTGAAATCAATAAATTTATCAAATCCAAAGAAGATTTATAAATCTACCAAAATACAAGAACCAATAACTCCTACCAAGTGCCTCTGCCGGAATCTTCCAAATAGCCAAAGGCTGGTTAATTACGCTATCACCGGAGTTTCCACGGCAAGCTTGCCGGCGAACCTAACCTTTTCAGGCTTAGCCTCCGATTCCCAGAGCTCCGGCAAAGCCTCCTTCAGGTTATGAATGTTCTCTACCGCATAATCTGCAAATTTCACTCTCTGCGAAGTCCCCACCTTTTCACAAGAAAACAAAAAGATAATCATCACTCCACTAATCTCGACTCCGGGATTGATTTTTTTTTAAAAGAGTAAAAGTTTATTCAACTCACCAGAACTGTGTTCAGACCGACGCGTTTACCTGCTTGAATGTTTCGAACACTGTCATCGAAGAACAACTTCAAGAAAAAACAGTAAAAGAGTTAATACTTTTTTTTCAGAGATCAAAACAAATACAAATGTGGTCGATAAGATAAATCAAGATTGCGAAATCGGCACTCACGGTTCTCTGAGGGTCGATGTTGGCGATTTCAAGAGCCTTGACTATGGCTGTCTCAGATGGTTTGCAGACAATTGGTGTTTTAGGCAAATCGGAAAGTGGCTGTTCATGATCGGACAAGTATCTGATTATGTCAAAGATCTCATCATTATCATTAATCTTGTCGCGATTAGTAGGATTTAATGATTCGAAGCAGAGTATTCCTTCGAAACAGTCTTCTAACCCTAGCCTCTCTAGGGCTCTTGCTGCGTGTAACTTATCTGCGTTCGTGAAGATCTGCAAAATTGTCACAGATTCATATATCTATATGAGAAAACCAAACTTGTGTTTTTTGATTGCCGCTGATTAAATTGAGAAGAAGACATTACGATCTTGCGAAGAGGCAGGCTAAGTAAAAGACTTCTCAAAATGGGATCTGGCTTTATGTTCTCATAAGGTAGCTTCCCATGTACGTAACTGTAAAAACCAAATAAGATAAAATTTCTGAATCATCATAAAAATAATTATATTATTGATAGAGATTAAATATATACCTGTGATACTCGTCGTAGTCGAAGTCATAACCTATGGCCTGAAAATAAAAACGATCAAACTTGATCAAGAGTTAACCTATGGATTATTCAAGTGGATTAAGTGAAGTAAAAGTGGGAAATAAATTTACTCGGAGACCAGCCATGGTAGTTCCGTAATTTTTGTAAAGTGAATTAGACAACTCCAGGATTATACTCTTGTCGATTCCAAGCTTCTCCACCATGTAATCTACCAAAAACCCACAATTTCAAAGTCTCGCAAGATTTTATAGAAAACCTAGTGACTTGCATACCAAGTTATTGATTTCAGGAGAAAAGGTTTATACCTTTGATATTCTGTCCGCATTCTCTAGCAATCCCAGAGCTCAGTGGATAAAGGGTATCGTCAAGATCTGCAAGATTCCCACAGAGTTATAGAATCTTCCAGAAACAAAACAGAGAAAATTGTCGGAGAAAGACAAAAACAGAGCAATTTGACTCTTACCAAACAGAAGGGTATCATATTTTGGGAACCCAATCTCCATTTTTCCTTGCTAAGCAAGATTATCGATGTTTTTACTTACTCCTCGAGAACCTTTAAGTACAGATAGAATCTTGAGTTATTGACATCATGCTTAATTAAAGAAGAGGAGAAAAACAGAGATTAAGTGGTGGGAACAAAACAGCCAAAGTGTGCAAGTTTAACTCTCCATATATTTGGGGATAAGGATTATGTTTGATTGGTGATTTCGCACCAACCACTATTAATCTCAAGAGTAACAATCAAATAATTATTGAATTTGATTCTAAAACGGTTTCATAATATTTCTTTTTTAAATGTTTTAAACGTTTAAATAAATTACAAAAAATAAGTTTCTTAAAAGGACATGTTTTTTACATTAAAAAAAATTATAATAGAGATAATCAAAATGTTTTTCACTAAACAATAATCAAAATGTTACGAAAATCTTAAATAAATTTAAAGATGGTATTATATCAATCTTGCTTGACGTTGTTGGGGACTCTTATTAGTAGATAATTAGACACAATAGTTTCTTCAAACTTGAATAAATGCATACAACCTATATAGTTTCCAAAATTTAGAAATAACATATTAAACTCATAAGAAAATTGAGAATAGCAACAACAAAAAAGAAAAAGAAAAGAAAGAACAAGCATTGACGCATCGTAATTATCGAACCTGGTCTAAAGACAGAGCTAATGACAAACGTAAACAAGTGGTGAGAGGCCAAACAAGGCAGAAGAAAAGGGAAGGAGAAAGAGAAGTAGCAAAAGCGTTTATATAGGAGAAAGCCAACGCGGTTTTGAACCTTTTTTTCCACGTCGATATGTTAATGCTTCTTATTTTTCTTTTCTGGTTTCTATTTAAAAAACAAAATGCTTCTCTTGTTTTTGTTATCTTATAACTTACAAATTCCTTAAAATATTCTATTTTGAAAAGTCTTTTATATGTTATATACAGTTACGTTACGTGTTCTATTTGAATAGAAAGTTTCATTGCTTCAACCGGAACTAAGACGATGCACTTTTTCTGACTAAAAGAAAGTTCGGTTTATCATCAATTTTCCAAATATAATTTATATATACAAACTTCCTCCGAAACAACTAATATAATATGCAAAAGTTAAAGTTCTAAAATATCTACATCTGGTATGCCGTTATAAATCTACCTTTTATACCATCGCCTCCTCGTTGCCATAATATATTATTGTAAAAAAAAAATGTATACCGAAAGAAATTTATACTATTTTTAAACACTAATCTGTTTTTATTTTAAATCGTACTCAACATTCTAAGCTGATCACTTAATTCTTGGATCATCGTTTAAGCTTTCTAACGACTAGTAAATAACAGTTCTTTACCACTTCATTTGATATTTGTTAATACCGAAAAATATATATATTCAAAGGCTTGGGTGATTTGTTACTCGACCCGCGACGCGAGGCTTGTGTGTGGTGTAAACGCAGTTAATACAGAAAGAACACATGTGATGATTGAGAAGAGACTAACACAGAAAGTTTAATGACGATGAGCTGTCGCCTTCTCATTTTCTATTATTCTTGATTAGTATTTTTGTGTTTTGTTTTCGAACAAAGCCTTCAATAATTGATCAACAATGCTATCAAAAGATAATTGATCAACTAGAAGACTTGTACCACACGGTCTTGTTTCCTATGATAAACTACTTATATATAAAGCCTGATTGATTATAAAACATCATATTCATCACTCAATTCCCAATAACCTATGAATTATTTTACTTTTCGGTACCCTAGTAGAGTTATTGTCTTCAAATCGATTTTAGTTTAGGCAACGTTAATTGAGTTGGTTTGGGTTTAGTTCATATTTGTTTTATTTAGCATTTCGGCGTTTTAGTTTGTTAGATTAAAAACTGGTTCACTTTAGCTAGTGTTTATTTTCATTTTGATGAAAATTTGTTAATTTTGCTAGATCTACAATCAGTCTTAAACCCCTCTCCCTGATGGATAATGGATAATATAAAGCAAAAATTAAAAACAAAATCACAAAAGAATACAATTCTTAGTAACAATATACTACAAAACAATAGCTACATACGTATCCAACATGTGTTTTTTTTTTTTTTTTTTTTAACATTTGCTTCGTATCCAACATGTTGATTGGATCAATATGCAAATCCTTAATTTTACGCATAATCTGTTTAAGAGGAACATCAATATTGTTATAATAATATATGTGTAACTTGTAAATAACTATCTTAATATTCCGACTGATTTTAGGATGCACCGTTTAATTTTGTAGTTACAATTTTTGTTTTCTTTGGCACCACGTAGCTTACAACTAATCCTATCCATTTCGAAGTTTTTTGTGACACGCGTGACGTGCGGAACGAAGTAATCTTTATCATCATTGTAATAGTCAGGAGTTCGTGTATGTGTAATTACGCTTCTAGAAATTGATCATTGTGTCCCTTTCGCATCATGATTTCACAAAGAACAAAATTCTTCACTGGCAACTTATATAACTTCGACATTACTAATAAAAAGGAAAACAGCCAAATATATTTGAATTTCCTTCAATTTTGTAATGAAAATACAAATATATGTTGATGTTGGTCTCTAATCATTGAAAGTGAAAAACTGACATACATCATTCATATATTAGCGAGAAGATGTGTTCTTAAAAAAAGATCAACCGATCTGGGGAATATTGAAAACATTACCGTTGGAATCTAAATAGAGATAGACTCTGTTACAGCAAAAGTCTTGAAATCCAACTCTTCCCTGTGGCACTATCACCACCGTCACATTTGGATTCTCACTTTCGATTATCTTTTTCACCATGTCTCCATTTTTGCCTCTCAATTCTTTCCACATAAACTTTGCTCCTGAGTAAGTAATTGTTTTCACATAATAATTAGAGTTGAAAAGATAGTTTTCTATTATTATTTTGAAGAGAAAGAGATTTTTGAAGTATACCGTGAGCGCAACATGCTGGATCGGCGCAAGAGTTACCCACACATGGAGGATAATGAGACATCTCTTCTTATTTTGATCACCTAAACTGTTTGATTGCTTTACTATTATACTTGAAATTCGACTCTTTATATATACAATAATCATGTTCATTTATAAGGAAACAAAATAAACTGTATACTTTAAATATGAAAAGCTAATTATTATACAATAGGATTTTTACAAATTCTAGTATATTTTATTTCTGTTATTGAATGCATACAATCTTCATATTACTTTAGTTTGTTTCTTTTACACGTTACGAGTTGCCAATGCAATATTTCGATCACCTAAACTGTTTGATTGGTTTTCTATTTTACTTGAAACACATTACTGTTCTCTTTATATATGCAATAATCATGTACTTTTTTAAAGGAAACAAAATCAATTGATACTTTAAATATGAAAAGCTAACTATTATCTCTAACGTTAAGTACTGCCATTTATTGTATTTCTATATATTCTAGTATATTTTATTTCTGTTATTGAATGCGTACAATCTTAATATTACTTTAGTTTGTTTCTTTTACACGTTACGAGTTATTACAATGAGGCCTGGACAATCTGGGTATTGGTTCGGTTTTAGTTTGGTTTTCTCGGTTTTCGGTTAGTAAAAAATGGCTACCATTTTATAACTATATCTAGTTTGGTTGGTTCGGTTTTATTACTTTTGTTTTTTGGTTTGTTCGATTTATAATCAAAAACCAAAAGTTTTGTTTGGTATAATATGAATTTTGGGTTTTTGAATAAAAAAATTAAAAATGTTAATTAATCAAAAATGTGGAACACATAAAATTTATAAAGCTAATGTCTTACTTTATGAAAAAGAAGGAAAAAAAAACAAAGACAAACGAACGCATTTTTAAAATCAAATAAATTAAAAACATAAATTCAGAATAAACACTAAAAAAGAAGCATAATTTGTCATCCATCAAGGTTTTTACTTGAGCTATGTACAATGAGTTTGTTGAAAAATTAATTCAACAGTTTAACACTTTCAATAAGGCTGTTGAATTTTTGAAGAATACACGTGTATTGTTTTGTGTTGAAAGTATTCAATCAGTTGAATTAAAAAAATATAGAACCCATGAAGCCAAATGTCAAAATATAACAGGGAGGAAAGTTGGTGAGTGCATGCCACATGCGGCGGAAATTCTTTATTTCTGAAAAAAAAACATGGTAAAATTTGATTGGTTAAAGAGATTTCCATAATTTTTATCACCTCTAAAATTTTTGAACTACATTATCTTTTAATAAATTTTTTTTTATAAAATAAATTTTTACCAAAATTAAGCAAATTTTAAGATCTATAAATAGAGACTACTCTCATTGTATTTGGACATAAAAAAAAATCATTATTTTTCACTATTATCTTTCCTTTCGTTTATTATCATTTTTTGTATCTTTAAATTTTTTTTGGTTAAATAGATCTTAATAAAAAAAATTTTAACACTCAAAATTCTACTAATTTTCCTTTTAATTTTCCAAATCCAAACAATTATCAGGTTCAAAATCAATTTTCCAACCAACCTCAAAATATACCAAATTATGGTTTTGCACCAAATTTCTTCATGCCATCATCTATTCCAAATTATCCTCCATATTATAGTTCAATGATGCAATATTCATCTCAAACACCCCCTTTTTCTGCTATTCCAACGGGTAATGAAAATGTTCCGAATGTTGGAACAATTGAATTTCCCGAATTTTCTACACAACTTGCTCTTGGTGGCATGAGTGGTGATAATGAAGCCACTCCAAATGCAGAAGATCCAGCTCCTCCTCGCCGAAAAGCCCCAAATGGACCACTGATCAAACTTTGGTGCTACTTAGTGGGTGGATTAAATTTGGAACAAACAGTATTGTTGGCAAAAACCAAAAAAGTGAAGCATATTGGGGTAAAATTGCTGAGTATTGTAATGAGCATTGCTCATTTGATCCTCCACGTGATGGAGCTTCGTGCAGAAATCATTATAACTATATAAATAAAAAGTTGGGCAAATAGATTGGCGCTTACGATAACGCTAGACATATGGAACAAAGCGGGTGGTCGAAGAATGACATATTATCCAAAGCACATGAACTATATTCAAGTGGTAAGAATGACCATTTCAATTTAATATCAGAATGACTCGCTGTCCGAGATCAACCACGTTATGGTAGTCAGGTTGGAGGAAATACTGGCTCTGGAAGTAGTGGATCTAAGAGATCCCGCGAAAGTGATGTAAGTGACTCCAACTCTGTAGGATCTAGTGCTCGTCCAATGGGGAAGGATGCAGCTAAGAAAAAGGGTAGAAAGAAAGGCAAGAACGCTGCCTTGGAAGTGGTTAATGAAGAGTGGAATGAATTCAAACAATTCAAAGAGCAAGAGTTAGAATGATTGGACAAAATAGCCATGGTGCAGGATGAGGCAAACAAATTAATGAAAGAAAAGATGTATGCTAAGAAGATGAAGATGTTTATGAAGTTAAGTGAAAAGGAGCATCTCAATGACAAGAACAAACAACTGTTGGAGAAGTTGAACCATGATCTATTTGGAAATTAATTATTATCAAGTGTCTGTTTGTATTTTGTCAGTTTATGCAATAATGTTTGTCAAGTGTCTATCTGTATTTTATCGCTTTCTACTTTAATAATGTGTGTCGAGTGTCTTTATCTGTTTTGTGCTTTTCTGCTTTAATAATGTATGTCAAGAATCCGTGACTTTTGGCTTTTACAAAAATAATTCAATCCTTATCTACTAATTTATGGCATTGTATTATATGTTTGGAGTCCGTTGATTTCAACCACTCAATTTCTTATAAATAAACACTCAGGCTGTAACTGGTGACCATAAGGAATGGAAGGGAATACTAAATTCCTTAAAAATTACACCATTTAAAAGAAATATATTGTATCCATGATTCCTTCTCATTCCTTATGTTTTAGGAAACTATAATGTTAATATATTTCTTATAAAAAATGAGAAGGAACAGTAATTCCTATTATCTTGTTCCTTTTATTCCTTTTCCTATTCATTTCTATTGTTACTTATATGGTCACCAGTTAAAGCCTCATTCTTCCATTGATGTATCACTACCATAAATCTCATATTACAAAAAAAATTATCAATGGATTCAACAGAATTTCCTTTTGATATTAAAGCTTACAAAAACCAGTGTGAAATGGAAAAAAAGTATACGTCAACCGGTTTAGAGAGCGTCAGAAGAAAATAGAGGAAGCATATACGGCTCGTAGCAAGAGAAAATATTACAAGAGAGATCATGTAGCAGCAAACCAAAGGCTGTTCGATGACTACTTTGCCAATCAACCTACATATGATGATGCAATGTTTCGTCGAAGATTCCGGATGCGCAAACATATTTTCCTGCGGATTGTTGGGGACCTATTAAGCACTGAAAACTACTTCACCCAAAGAGTTGACGCAGCTAATAAAGAAGGTATATCTCCACTAGCAAAATGTACCACGGCCATGCGAATGTTAGCAAGACGCGGTCGATGAATATATTAAGATAGGAGGTACTACAGCATTGGAGTGCTTGCGTAGATTCTGTAAAGGAATCATACAATTGTATGAGCAAGAGTATCTCAGAGCCCCAACTCAAGTTGACTTGCAAAGAATACTACAAATTAGTGAAGCACGAGGGTTCCCAAGGATGATTGGGAGTATTGATTGCATGCATTGGGAATGGAAAAATTGTCCTACCGCGTGGGAAGGTCAATTTACTAGGGGAGATAAAGGAACCACTACTGTTATTCTTGAAGCTGTTGCATCTCATGACCTATGGATCTGGCATGCCTTTTTTGGATGTCCAAGTACATTAAACGATATAAACGTTCTAGACCGTTTACCAGTGTTCGATGATGTTGAACAGAGAAATACTCCAAGGGTAAACTTTTTTGTGAACCAACGTCCGTATAACATGGCGTACTATCTAGCTGACAGTATCTATCCTTTTTATCCTACTTTTGTCAAATCAATTAGAATTCCTCAAAGTGAACCAGACAAGTTATTCACACAACATCAGGAGGGATGCCGGAAGGACATCAAACGTGCATTTGGAGTGTTGCAAGCTCGATTCAAAATCATTCATGAACCAGCTCGCATGTGGGACATAGCTGATTTGACTATCATCATGAGATCATGTAACATATTGCATAATATGATTGTTGAGGATGAACGAGATACATATGCCCAACATTCGACTGACTATGATCAATCTGAAGCAAGTGGGTCTAATATACCGTAACCATTCTCGACTGAAGTGCTACCTGCATTTGCAAATCATGTGCGTGCTAGATCTGAATTGCAAGAAGATCTAGTTAAACACACATGGGCAAAGTTTGGAATGTTCCGTGATTAAATACATTTTAAGTGTTTATGTGTGATTTAGAGTTATATTGTTTGTGAGTTGAGTTTCTATGTTTGATTTTTAATTTTCTATGTGTGATTTAAAAGTTTTTTTATGTTGTGTTTTTATTTAAAGTATTGTATTTTAAGTTTTATATAAGATTAAGAGTTGTATTATATTTTAATAATAATTATTGTTATTTTTACTATTTGGAAAAAATATTATTATTATAAATTATTTAATTTATAATTATAAATAGTAATTATTTTTTTGTTATTAATTAGAAAAACTAAAAATAAAACAAAATTATGATGTGGAATGGTAGGGTAAGGTGTTGAATTTTATTAAATAAAACTATTGTAGAGTGTAAAATTTAATAAGATGTTGAATGAGTATGTAGAAGAAAGAGAATATGATGTGGAGTATTAAAAGTTGAGGTGGAGGGTGTTGAATATATACACCATTGTACATAGTGTTATCTCCTTCGATTGCACACGAAATTCTGTCTATTTATGGATAACATTGATCAAATTGAGTTTTTACTTTTTATATGAAAATAATTCAGTGAAAATAAAAATATGAGTAACCTACCTTCTACAAGAAATTCCATGAACAAGAAATTATATTATTTGCATTTATCTAGTGTATACTATTTATTATTATATTATACTTTAAAACAAATTGGTTTTATTTGGTTTAATCGGTTTATGTCCATACCATATTCATATCCACGGTTTTCAAATTATTACATCCGTACAGTTAATATAAATTCTCTGGATTCTAACTACAATATTTTTTGGTTTGGTTTGGTTCGATTTTATTAGATTAGGCCTAATATCAACACAAGATTAAGAGTTCCATATACGCAAAGAAAAACCCAAAAACGAACCAAACCGAACATGAGGTTGATTACTTTGTTTAATTTATTTTCATAAACATGAGGCTAGAATATTAACAAAAATTAAGAAGTGAACCTAAGCAATTATTTCTTTTTGCTAACGGGTACTTTTATCTTTATCATTTTTTTATGTTACCAAATAAATTCCATACCTTCAACCGAAGATTAAAGTATGCATGTTAAATTACTCTATCCGTTTTAAAACGTAAAGTATGCATGTTAAATTACTCTATCCGTTTTAAAATATAATTTATTTTAGCAAAGACACAAATATCAAGAAAAATAGTCTTATTAAAAAATGATTTAATAAATAAACTACATAATATCTAATAATATTATAAAATATTGGTATAATATTATTAAATACATAATATCTAATAAAAGTAATAATTATATAAAATATAGAAATTAACTTATATTTTGAAACAAAAAAAAACATCTAAAACAATCTAATATTTTGAAACAGAGTAAATAGATATTAGTACACTCTTTGCGCCAGAAGAAACCTATCTTTTTACTTGTTTGAAAAAACAAGACTTTGATTTCCTAAAAAGGATCAATAAACAAACTGTTTCCTTTTTAAGGATCAAGTTCCTTTTCCCACTTGGATTTGGCGCCGACCTTTAAAATCACCGTATATAAATATATGGTTCTCTAGACGGCGTAACAAAGCATCTGACATTCTTCCCCAAACAATCGGCACTTCCTATAATCTCCTAGACGCAGAAAATAGTAACAAATTAGGATGAATCAAGAGGTTTTAATTGGACTTATAACTCTCGGTGTGATGGCTGCAGTGCTTCTCCATGTGTGTCTGCTTTATTGTTTGCGGTAAACCAGAGGAGGATAAGAACCTGACCGGTTCCGTTGACTTGGAAAAAGGCCAGAAAACCTCTACACACGATGTTTCAGGTTTGACTTCGACAGCTTCTGCCACTGATGTTGCTGGAACTGGTCATCATCATCATCATCATCATCATCATCATCATCATCATCATCATCATGACAGCAGCAGCTTCACACATCATTATGATCACGGCGCCTCTTCTGGTGGCATTGTTCATCATCATTAAATCTCATAATAATTTTCAGTGTCATAATATTTGTTTTCGATTTCTTTTTTATTTTTTCATATGTATTTAATTTTCATATTGTTCTGATTTCTATTTGGACAACTACACATATTTTCTTTGTGTCGATACAATACAATACAACTCAATAATTTAAACGTCGAGAGAGATTCTCAACACTAGAGACGGTTTTTTCAGTAAGTAGGCTTCTTTACGTACTCTACAAGCAACAACAACAAAAAGAATCAAAGACAATAAACCATCGGTTCGGTTCCATCAAAACAGAGTGGTTTGGCGACCGATTCTTCTCGGCAAGCCAAAATTCTGATAAGATCGGATTTCACCGGTTATCGAAGCCGTCACAATCACCATCCCCCAAGCCGTCGGCTGTATGGTTTGTGGACCGTGGCCTCCGCTGTCGAACCACGACCAAGAAGATAACCTCGACGACGTGTTTATCGACGGAGATTCCCCAAACCTCGATGAATGCTGCTCCGAGCCGTTCATGCTCGACCCAAACGACTCGCTGCTTCCTACCTCCGGTCCAGCCTCTTCCTCCGGTTGTTTCTGCGGACTGTGTGTAGCGGTTTTCTTAGGCATAGGAGGTAAACCCGGTTTCTTATTGCGGTTAGAGGTGTTTGGTGCAGCCGCCGAGGCTTCTTCTCTTGTTGGTGAGCCTATGGCGGATGAAGGCTGGCTCGAAGTGGATATCCGCTTCGAGTGACGTCTAGAGTGAATCTGAACCGGTGGTGGCTCGCCTCTGACATGACCGTGCCATGGGACAGCGGCTGAGACGTCTTTGCATTGGAAATGTTCGTGTGACTGTGTCATGATCGTTGATCTTCTGCCTGTTTCGGATGTTGTTCTGTGACTGTCGCTTTTCCACAGGTAAACATGAGAGTCTTCGCTCGCACAGATTATGTATTTCCCGTCTTGGCTATACGAAGCCGATATTTGGCTGCTCGTGTTTCTAAAGCCTGTCGTCAACAAAAAGATCAACTTTTGTTTGTTTGTTTGTATTCCTTTGCTTGTGTCTGAGAACTATACCTTTGAATTTGTGAATAACTTCGGAACCGTCTAGAATTCTAATCCGTGAATCAGCGGATGTGACAAGAACTTCTGATGGATTCACCGGAGAAAACTACAATGTACGAATGAAGTTTACTTACATTAAATGGTGTTAACGCAAGTCGTCTTAACGGCTAATTCTGGTTTTCAAAAGAGACGTACCTGAAAACTGGTGATCTTCCTTTTTGCTTGCGATTTCTTATGGGTCTGAACATCAATCTGATTAGTTTGATTCAGCTTACAGTCTGTTCTACACAAGAAACATAAAACGCTTAGCAGTGAAAAAAGTGTACTCAACTCGGGAATGATGTTTTGAATCAGAAAGAAAGAGCTCAGGGAGAACCTTCTGTATCGTAAGCACGGCAAATTCCTTTATTTGAGCCGATGAATGCTCCCTTCAAATCAAGAAAACCCCAAAATTAGAAAAAAACTCGTAATGGATTGGATTTTGCAGACTTTGTGCAATAAACAGAGCGATACCTGACCGTCTGGAGTGTAGCAAGCAGCAGTGACCATTTCATGAAGATCACTCCATTCCACAACCTGTCGATCTTGTATGCTCCATATCCTTATCTTTGCATCAAGCGACCCACTTATGAAATAGTTTTCATCCACTGGGTTAAACTGAATGCATGTCACTGTTGAATCAAATGGACTATGGTCAAAAGGGGATTCAGCAAAATAGATGTGAGAAAAGGAATGTGTCTCACCATAGTCATTGTGGGCAAACAGTTTGAGACATGTTCTGGTTTCTAGATCCCATAACCTGACTGTTTTATCCATGGAGGACGAAAGAAGAAGCTGAGATTTAGACCATGACAGATCCAAAATATCAGCCAAATGACCTTTCAAAGAGCAAACAGGTTTCTCCGAGAAGGAGAATACAGTTTCAGGGACATGGACGTAATCAGGAATGTGATTGCTTTTTCTTGCTGACGAGCCTTTTCCTTTCTTCTTCTTTTCCACCGCAGCTATCTCACTCCCAGCAAATGATCTTTCCACAGAGTCACAAAGCGATGGATGAATCGGAGTGAGACTCCCTTCATTCATAGACATTAGCTCACATTCCTGCACCTCCCACACATGAATGACTTGATCCTGTCCTCCGCTCGCAAGGTAATGAGCGTCTGGACTAAACTTGATAGTCCAAACCGCACCTTCGTGAGCTTGGATCTCCTGACACATATGCAGAGCGCTCAGTTCCTTGTAAGACTTCCCTGTTGGCCTCACTTTCACCCACTCATTAGCTTTGCCATGTTTATGATCTTTCCCCTTCTTAGGACTATCCACGCTTCCATCGCTTACATCTTTATCTGCAACCCTCAAGCTCATGGAATGCGCCACGCCTTTGATGTTCTTCAGCAACGCAGCTCCTCTTCTCTTGCTCAGCCTCACGCTCTTTGAGAGATACGAATTGAGTTTCCGAAGATCCGCAAAGGGCTCGTAGTTAATCCTGTTCACATTCTCTCTACGCATAAGCTCCTTGACCACAGGTGAATACCCAACGCATTTCTCGAACTCCTCCAAAGTTAGCTGCTTTCCCGTCTGCAAATCACTAAGCCTATTCCACATTCCGTCTTCGTCATACTCATTCACTATAAACTCCTTCCCTGTGTCAAGATTCTTGATCAAGAAAAACGCACCGAGCCTGGCTTTCGACGACGTTACCGACGTCAATGCGTCTGAGCCACCGCGTGAGGCCCTTCCGTTTCGATAAACCGCCGGGGATTGTCTGATTGGGGTTTGGTACTGGCAGATTCTGGTCCGTGTAACTCCGATTGTCGAATAGGTTCTGGTGAGACGCTGCTTCGAGATTTTCCCGAGAAGCTCTTCTTTCCTCCGTTTCTCTATCAGAAACCTCTCAATGTCCGATTCCGATCTCGACCGAGCTAGCATTACCGGGACTAGAGGAGCGTGCTCGTGGTCGTGAAGCTCCGATTCGCCGTTAGCGTCATTTTTATCCTCCACCTCGCCGTTCTTCTTCTTCTTCTTCGTATCCTCGCCGTTGCTAGCAATTGCCGCGTTAGAGACAACGCGTCGAATCGACACAGCGCCGACCATTTCCTTGTTGCTGACGAGACCCATCCCGTGGAGGAGACGACGACGGCGCTCGGAAATCGATCCCGGAGCTGCCATCCAGATATCGTAATCAGGCGACATCGCCGGCGTACGGAAATTCCTGGAGGCGTTGGAAACGGAGGTCAAGGAAGAGACGGCGGAGGAAAACGAGATTCGGCAGTCGTCGAAATCCTCGTCCTCGTCGGAAGACGACCCGGCCATGTCGAAAGCAAGAGCGGAGGAGAGCCGGTCATGAGTCTCGAAGAACCTATCGTCGTCGTCTTCGAAATCCCCCAACCCAGCCCAGTTCATCGTCATCGTCCTCTTCCGATCCAACCTGTTTCCCCCATTCTCCATATCCTCCTCCTCCACGGATCCACAATCTCGGGAAAACTAATTGAAATTGCATGCGAAAAATTGAACAGGATTTTTCAAAAAAATTGGCCTCTCTCGCCGGAGATTTTGTCAGGGAGAAAGACGAGATGATGATGATGATCGATCATTATTCAGCAGCAAAGCACCGTTATGGAATGATGGGCAAATCGGGAATTATGGGGGAAAGTGTCAAGACGTGTTTCTCTTTGTAAGACATCTCGTCACGTTTATTTTTTTTTTAATCTCTCCAATTAAAATTTTAATGATAATGAAAAATACAATTCAACCAACGATCGTGGAAGCATGTTTTGCACTTCTTAAACGTAGCCTAATTTGCGTTTGGTTCGACTTTAATATGAACAAATCATGTGTTCTACTTTATGTGTTAAACATTATAAGAAAAAACTAAATCTAAAGATAATTAATTTCAGGTTTGTTTTCTATTTTATCACAAAATCTAAGGTTTTGTTTTTTTCTACTTTTTTAATCGAATTCTTGAACATAAACACAAGATTATTATGTCCTTTTGCTTGCATCTTGTGTTTAAGCCGCATTGCCCAAGAAAACCAATCTGCGAGGAAACCACATTCTAGCAGCAACGCTTTGAATCCTAGTCTCGACCATCATGTTAACACGTTTTATTAGGAAGAACATCACTTCATTAGTTTTGGCCTTTGGGGGTTAATAAAGTATGTAATGTATATCCTTTTTTTGGGTAGTACGTATAAAGTATATATATCCTTAATAAAGAAAAAAAAACAGTTCCAAGTTAAGACGATTACAAGATTAAGAAGATTTTTGACCATGTTAATAAGAATGTTAGTTTTTGTTGTTTCAGAAATATTTTGACAATAACTGGTCACTATTAAAAGAACAACAAGAATAAAAGGAACAAAATAAAAGAAACAAAATAATAGGATTGAAAAAAAAAATATATATATATATATATTTTGTTTTTTTTCAAATTTGAGAAGAAATTATTTTGTTCTATAATTTCGCTCAGAATAAAGAATAGTAAGAAATGATGTGGAAAAAAATATTTCTAGTAAATGGTAAAAAAAATTAAGAAATAAAGAGGAATTCATTATTTCTTATCATTCCTTTGGTCATTAGTAAAATAAAAGGGTATAGATAGTTTTAGGATCCCACAGCAAAATAACTTTCTACACTATCATCAGATTTTCTGATTCCAACAGGTTTCTAATAAAAAAAAGTTTCTAATCAAGACAGAAGAAGATACATAACAAGTTCGAATCACAAAATCTTGTAAGATGGAGACTAGAGTTGCAAATGGTTATTTCTTTATCACCAACATAATCAAAATATATGGTTTTAGCATAACCAGTTAAAAGAAAAACCATATGGTTGAGAGAGGACACATGAGCAGAGGTGTGCTAGGATTTGTACTATATGACGCACAAAGTCCAATAGAGCTTTCATCACGAGAGGACCAAAAATGTTAGACGAGAGGGTTCTAATATTCCTGATATGGCTGATGATGGTTTGAGCAAGCAAGTTTCATGAGATACTATAGTGAGAGTATAGTGTTTTGTTCCAATAAGAGACATGAATCTCACACTACTGTTTTATGTATCCTGTTTACAAACATTTTAAAAACCTCTCTAATCACTTTGAGATGAAGGTTTTATTGTTCAACAAGAATCAAAATGATAGGAGATTACATAATGAATACAGCTCTATGTACATCTTCATTTTTTTTTTAGTCTAACATTATTTCGTCACAGCATTAGCGTTGAGAAGTAATCCTCGAATTCTTGATCAATCGTAGGCTTCTTTGTGACATGCTGAGTAGACTCTGCACACATGAAACCAAGTTAGTGGATATCCGGTTAAGGGAATCCCCATGGACAAAACCAAGAACCGGTTTATATACCTTGGTCAACAGTCCATCTCCCAGAGGACAAAACATACTTAGCCGCATTACTACATCCTTTAGATTCGTCTTCTTCTTCGTCGAGGTAGATACTGTTCTCAATGTCTTTATCTGAAAAATCCTCTAGGTTTTGGGCGCCATAGATGAGATCGAGATGGCTTTCGAAAGAGATCATCTTGTCTTCACTGCACGATCCAGATGACTCTTCTTTCATCATAATCTCGCTGTCACATTCCATTGAATTTGAGTTCACATACGATGTTGAATACTCTGAATCAATCTCTGATTTGCCATTGGTATTGTCGGAACAAGCGGCATTGTCAAAACAAACATGTTTCGACAGAGGTAGTAATGATAACTCCGATTGATCTGTCTGAAATTTCCTCTTCTTGCTCACTTCAACATCTTCCATTTTCAACACATTTTTACTACTGATCATATGATGGAAACTGAAAGAATCCAGACAACAACAAATCAGAACATATTAGTGGATGGATCTTATTAGTTAATAATCTAATAATAAATCGAGTTTCTTGATCTTAAACTTGATTAAGTGTTTAATAGAACTTCTAAATCACAATGATTAAATAAGCAATCAAGACAAGATATTGTCAATCATCCTCTGCAGCTGTGATTTTGTTCAACAATTAATATGAAAACATAGAGGTTACAAATCAATTATCCTATGTATTTATGCTTCTTCAAGAACTGAGAAGAGTGAAAAAATTGATCTCTAAATTAAACGCTAATTTTCCATTACGAGATCTCTAATATTTGAAAAGCTTAAAATACTCAAGGCTCGCATATTCCAGTAACAAAACAAGAATCAGAAACTGAAACCTGTTAATCTCAGATTGCTTCTTGTTATCCACTTCCCCTTCAGGCATAGATCGCTTACAGAGTTCAAAGATATTGTTTTTATTTCCTCGTTAATCTTTTAAAAATGACGGAAAAATAAGCTCTTTCCCCTTATGGAGGGTCGCAACTCGCAATATCTGGAACTGGAAACTTTTAAAATATAAAATCAATCATAAACAGTTCCACATTCAATGTAAGAGCGTGAATTTCACGGATCACTTTAATCCGTTGATCTCGTTTTTACGGTGTTTGATTTAACGCGTGTACTGCACCGCGAGAAGATTCCAGGCGCCGGAGAGGTGACCCATCTCCTTTCACGGGACGGGACCTGTTTTTTTTTTTTAATTAATAGCTTTCGCTCCATACGATTTTGTAAGTTTATTTTTACAATTGTCCCATAACGGCTTTGGATGAGGTCAATAAATATTTAACTTTATTGTTACATATGCGTGATAATTAATAACCAGCCGCCAAAAAATATTCAGAAATATAACAATTTTTTCTTTCTAAAAATTCCACAACTTGTTTTTTTTTTTTTTGTCAACCACCAAAACTTGTTTTTATTAAAAAATTGTTTTAGGAAAAACTTCATACAGCTAGTTTCTGAAGCCTTCTTACAGTGATGATGTCTGAAGCCTTTTTTTTCCCGAAAATGCGATGTTTTAAAATGTTAGCTTAGTAGTCTCGTACCATAATGACAAAATAGTATTTTTAGCTTTTACTGGTCTGGTCTGCTGCCACCTACACAAAGATATCCTACTAATAATGATTTAAAATTGACACCTCAGAATGTACTGGATCACGTGTCTCGCATGTGCGCACGAGAGCATCATATGGCGCTGTCTGATGACTTTTTGGCTTTCATCATCATTGCAACTCGTAAGAAGAGAAGCTGAAACCAGATCTTCCTTCGTTTACTGTTTTCAGCTCCAGCTTCTGAAACGGACTGGATAACAAAACATAGACCGTTGCAGCAAGGTTTAAGCAACTTCTCTCTATACCCAAACAACAACAAAAATAGAACATTATAGTCTGTAAACAACAACTTACCTGCTGTTTGGATCATAATAGAAACCGCTGATGGATCCGTCGCTGCAGGAGAAGCATACGTAGTAAAATCCAGCTATTGTTAGTCCACAATCTGTGCCAACATTTACAAAGTATTGCTCTTTCCATCTCTGCATCACCAGAAACAAAACCACGATTGCAGAAGTTATAGAATATACCCCAACAGTAAATGGATAATCAGAATCGATATGAAACTGAGAGTTTTTTTTACCATAAAAATATAAGGGTAATTGCGAAGATCCAATTGCCTCCCACCATCAGACTCAACTTGTCCCTGCAGGATTAGGTTCAGAACACAGCTCAGGAGATGTTACTGACACTAAAAGCAAGTTTTTTGTTTGTGTGGGTTAAATGTTAAATCACTAAAAGCAAGCTACTCGAGCATTACCTGAAGAGGGGAAAAAGATGGGAACTTTGACCAATGTCTCATATCATCCTCCCTCCTGTGATGACAAACATTTGTCAAAAAAATGTATTCACATTAAGAAATCATTTAGCTTAAAATCTTCAAGATAAAAGGGTTTGGGACGTACACGGCTTCCCACTTTCCGGTGTAAAAAGTATAATTCTTTCCATCAACGATTTCCCCTTCCCAGAATGTTATCACCTGACACACGCATAACAAACAGTAGAGAATCGTTTTCCTGTGATTGTGTATTCAAAGAGGGGGAAGAAACAGGGAAGACAAGAAACGAGTAAGGGTGTAAGAGATTACAGGAGTGTCTGCCATGGGAACGTTTAGAGCTTCCATAGTGCCACAAAGATAGCCATGTTCAAGGTCAACTCCCTGTATCTGCACGTTAACTCTCCAAGCTTCCTCCTTCTGTTGATTAGAGACATTTTGCGTACCAGAAAACGCCTGCCGCGTATATTAACAAGTAAGTATGCGACAACTCAAAAAGCCCTCATCTTTACGTTTCACTATGAAATAAATCAATCTTCTGGAGCCAATGAATGTTTTTTACGTTTTCCTACTTAATATAAGTGCACTTTGATTCAGCAACATGAAAAAAGATACCAAGCCAGTTAAATCCAGACAAAGCTAACACGGAAGTCACTGCCCCCAAGATGTTTGGTGCTTATGAACAATGTTTGTGTCTGAAACAATAAGACACGACATCTTTATGCTTTTGGCTTTCCTAAATAGCCAAAACATCAGGGAAGTTAGTACTGTCCTTCTTGTCTTGCAATAACGCTGCTCCAACAAAAGTTGCATTAAAATTATCTTAGCTATCTCCTACCAAAAGATTGTGCATACATAAACACAGATGCACAAGCATCTATGGCCAGTAGCTTAAGCAGACATTTATGAATTGAATCACTGCCGCAATCACTTTTTTTTTTGTGTGATTACAATCAAAAGAAAGAATTTTTCTAACTTTTGAACATTTACACAAGAACATGTTTGTTCATTAATGGAAGTCGAATCGTTTTTACCTGGCCCGCGCCAAGAAGTGAACTATGCGGAAGTGGTGAGCGATTCCCAGGATCAGTTCCTTAAAATGGCAACAATCCAATGAATAAAAGAACATCTCACGAGAGCCACGAATAGGATCAGACTTCAATAGAACAAACCGGAAGAAAAAAAATCCTAATTTCAAAACTGGGAAGAAGCGAGAAACCTGAAACTTGGGCAGGCGCGCTGCTCTCCACAACTCTCACCGGCATTTTCTTCCCCTCTCGTCGCCGTCTGATCTCTCTCCTCCTTCGTTACTCTGGTTTTCCGATGAAATCGAGATCAACACAGTTGAAATGGGCTCACATCATATCCGGTTCGGTTTTTGAATTAGTAATTAGACCGGTAAACCTTAATTAGGGGTGGTACTCTTTAAACCGAATTGTAAAAACCCACTCTTTCCCAAAACCCTTCTCTCTCCTCGCCTTCGCCTACGCCTACTCTGCTCCGTCTCAACTTTCTTTGAACTTTGTTGTTATCCTTTGCTTTAGAACCTAAGTCTCAACTCTTTTCGCATCCTCTGATCGGGTGAGTTCATGGGATTTGTTTGAATTTTGGTTTTTATTTTTACTTTTTTATAAATTCTAGATGTTCACTTACGCGAACTAATATAATCCTACTGAATTCTCAGTCTACAGTTTTCGGATTCACTCTATAAAAATCGAACCTTTGGAGCTGACTTCTCGAATCGTCTCTCCTTTTCAGGCCTCTTCTGCCACAGCTCGAAACCAGGTCAGTCATCTTCTCAATTTTGCCATTTCACATGCTGTTTTAAGTGTCAGTGGTTTTGGCTATGGACACTGACTTAGGTTTGCTTGAGCTACTCCTCTATTTTTGGTCTAGCATTCTTCTTCTTGTTACTTATTTGAATGCTCATGAACGAACTGAATACAAAATTCAATATAGTTGTTCCAGTGCTATTGGGATGCTGATATTGCTCTATATTCTAGATGTTGCTTCTGAGACAGAGCTCAGCTGCTGTTCTTGTCGCTGGGAATCCAAGTCCGGTCCTCCACACTTCTCGCCTCACTTACAGAGTTGGATCTCTTCCAGTTAGCAAAGCGTACTCCTCCCAGAGTTTCACCATGGCTAATTTGCAGAATCGTCTTACTTCTTCTTCTGGGAAACTAAATCCGGTTTTAGCCTCCAGCTCTCACGAGGCTTCTCCTATCAGGTAACTATCTCCCCTGTAATTTCTAATAAGGATGCAAATCTTATGTGTGTGGAGTATAATGGTGTCACATTATAACAATTCCTCTCAAGTCTTTTTCTTGGCTAGTGTGATTGTAGGGGGCTAAAAAACAAACGAGCTTTTGTATCAGTTTGTCAAGCAAAGTTGAATGTCGTTCTGATTGAACAACAGATCAGTTAAGCTTGTGTATATCAATCTGTGGAAATGAAAAAAAAGTTTAATCTTTTCTTTGAAGTGTAGCATCTGTGTTTCCCTGTAGTTCTCATTTCTCTGTTACTTGACACAAATTTTGAAATCAGTGAGATTGGGGAAGGAACTATATTTCTGAAGTGATTTATCTTTTCTCTTTGAAAGTGAGGAGAAGGAGAATAAACATGTCCATGGAGTTTCTGAGATAATTGTGGGAGTGTTAGGGGGTGGACAATTGGGTCGTATGCTTTGCCAAGCTGCTTCTCAAATGGCTATCAAGGTGATGATTTTAGATCCTTCGGAGAATTGTTCAGCAAGTTCGTTATCTTACGGCCACATGGTTGATAGCTTTGACGACAGCGCTACAGTGGAAGAATTTGCAAAAAGGTCCAATCTTTTGTTCTGTCTATTGAATGCTTCTCAGTTATTATTATCTAAGTTACAATATTTGATGGTTGTTTTTATTTATTGTCGTAGCTAGATGTGGAGTCTTGACAGTGGAAATTGAACATGTTGACGTGGAAACATTAGAGAGGCTTGAGAAACAAGGAGTAGATTGCCAACCCAAAGCCTCTACTATCAGGATCATACAGGTTTCCAAACCTCTCAAATCTTTTCATCAACTGAAGTATGATGAATAATTGAAGTTTGTCAAGCAATGTGATTTATATGAGACAGTTTGATGTTTCAGGATAAATACATGCAAAAAGTTCATTTCTCTCACCATGGCATCCCACTTCCAGAGTTTATGGAGGTTAGTTAGGCCTTTATTTATGCTTTGTTGAGAGAATCACTCACTAAGTTGTCCTTGAATCTTGAGGCGTTTGTTAAACATTTTTTAACTCCTAAGCCTTGCCACAACAGATAAGCGATATTGAAGGAGCAAAAACAGCTGGTGAACTTTTCGGCTACCCTCTTATGATCAAGAGCAAGAGATTGGCTTATGATGGTCGCGGAAATGCAGTTGCCAACAGCCAAGATGGGCTGTCTTCTGCTGTAACGGGTAAGCTCTTTAACTGTCGAGATGTAATGCTGTTCAGAGTCTCAAGTAGCAGCACAATCAATATGTAACCTTTGTTTTTCCTGCTTTTGCTTCGATGCTTTTTCACTTTTCCAGCTCTTGGAGGCTTCAGTCGTGGTCTGTATGTTGAGAAATGGGCACCCTTTGTCAAGGTAAAAATGGTGATAAAAGTTTATTTTGCTTCAGTAACTTATTTGCCTCTGATGTTTATAATTATTTAACATATAAAACTTTAGGAGTTGGCTGTTATTGTGGCTAGGGGAAGAGATGGTTCCATGGTTTGTTATCCCGTTGTTGAAACTGTTCACAGGTAACATAATAAAACTTGACTAAATGTTATTTATAAGATTGAAAGATATGGTTTTCTTACTTTTCTACTAATACACCTTGAAATGCACTCTAGGGATAACATATGCCATATAGTTAAAGCACCTGCAGATGTGCCTTGGAAGATTAACAAACTTGCCACTGATGTTGCTCAAAAGGCTGTTGGCTCTTTACAAGGCGCTGGGGTTTTTGCAGTCGAGCTGTTCTTGACAGAGGATGGTCAGGTATTGTCATACGTTTTAGGCTCTCTACCTCTTTTTCTTTAATAATTTTTAAACTTATCAGAGTTAGTTCTTACCAGATCCTGCTAAACGAAGTTGCACCTAGACCACACAACAGTGGCCATCAAACGATCGAGGCATGTTATACTTCACAGTTTGAACAACACTTGCGGGCTGTGGTCGGTCTTCCACTCGGTGATCCGTCCATGAGAACCCCTGCGTCCATTATGTACAATATCCTTGGCGAAGATGATGTAATGGATGTTTCCGCTTTACTTTACTGTTTGAAGTGTCTTGTTCTATATCAGTTTAATGAACCAATTTTCTATATTTCAGGGAGAAGCTGGTTTCAGATTGGCTCATCGGCTTATTGCGAGAGCTCTGAGTGTTCCAGGTGCATCTGTGCATTGGTATGACAAGCCAGGTTAGATTCATGTTCTCTTACAGTTTTCTCGGTTTAGGCTTAACCCAACACTTGTTGAACTCGAGGTTGGTAATAAACTGAAGCTGCTCAGTCTTCTAGCATAGTGGACTTGGTGCGTTGTCAGTTTTTTGTGAATTGTATAGTTTACTCACAAAGTTTGTATATGATGAAATCTTGTTGCAGAAATGAGAAAACAGCGGAAGATGGGCCACATCACTCTTGTTGGGCAGTCTATGGGTGTTTTGGAACGAAGGTTGCATTGTATATTAAGTGAAGAAAGCCATCAAGTACATGGTCAGTTTCCATATTAGCATAATTTTGTATCTTACACAATGTTTTTCCGAACTTGCCTTGCTAAAATCTGTTGTATTTCTAGTTTATGAAGTTATGGACCCTCATTTTCTTGATCACCTTTATGAGTTTTCGATGTATCTGATTCAAGTTTCGTTGCATGTTGTTTACACATTGCAGAGACACCTCGTGTTGGTATCATCATGGGTTCAGATTCGGATCTTCCTGTTATGAAAGATGCTGCAAAAATTCTTGACATGTTTGGTGTTACACATGAGGTTTAAAAAAATTTGAACTTGGCATTAATTAGTGCTTGTCACCTCTTTGCATCTCGAATGTTACGATATATGAGAAATGACTTCATCATTGGCTTTACAGGTAAGGATAGTTTCAGCTCATCGCACACCAGAGATGATGTTTTCATATGCAACCTCAGCTCATAGTCGAGGCGTCCAAGTGATAATTGCTGGTGCTGGTGGTGCTGCTCACTTACCAGGTATTGTCTTAAAAACATGAACTCATCTTGTCTCTACAACCATAAAAGCACTATAGAGTTTCTGATACAGGTTTTGTGCGTTGTTCTTTTTTTTTTGAATATTAGGTATGGTTGCTTCACTCACTCCTTTGCCTGTGATTGGTGTTCCTGTACGTGCTACACGTTTGGATGGAGTTGATTCACTTCTCTCCATCGTTCAGGTACGCATCATATTGCTTCATGATTCACTTGAGTTGTCAAATTATTGAATCGACATTTTGTCTGCGATTTTTAAACCTTTTTTTATTCTCTGGTTACAAAAGATGCCAAGGGGTGTTCCTGTGGCCACAGTTGCTATAAACAACTCGACCAACGCAGCCTTGCTTGCTATCCGGATGCTGGGGATCTCTGATGCTGAACTCGTCTCAAGGTTCTTTTTCCTTTTGTTACATAAAGAGTCAGATTAACCACGAACTAAGTTATGAATGAGATTTTTATGGGTTTGTTATGTTTGGTTTTGTCAGGATGAGTCAGTACCAGAAAGACATGAGAGAAGAGAATATGGTTAAAGGAGAGAAACTTGAGAGACAAGGTTGGGAATCGTATTTAAACCAGTGAATGTTACTGGTCAGAGTTGTAATCGAATAACAGCGAATTTCCGAGTGAACCATCACCGATTGATCTTGATGAGAGAGGGTTGTGAGAGTTAGCTTCTCTATGACTAATGTGGTTCATATAAAAAACAGATTATAAAGCATAGTCGAGTGAAATGACAAACGCAAACACTATAGTTTACTCGTCACAAATAATTTTTAACCGAATAGAAGACAAAAGTTATGGGGACAGCTAGTTTATAAGCAAACTAGTAGGACTTATTGAATCCCTAGAGATGGCAAAAGCAGAGGTTTGAAACCATTTCGAAGAGCAGCTTCCCAAACTCTGAGAGGATTAACGATTGAAACGTCGTGTTCCTCCCACCCTTCAAGGGCGTGTACTATCCCTCCAACTCTCCATGCGCTCATCACTCTCCTCCCCAGCCAATTCTACACATATACACATGCGTGTTATATATATACTGACCATGTATATATATATCAATGTTTTCTTAAAATGTTTATGTTAATGTGGAGATACCTCACAAGAATCGATGTTTTGGGCAGAGTCAGGGATGTTCATAGCCGGAGTTGTATGGTAAAAGCAGTCTTTTCTGAGTTGTGTAGGAGGAAACTGAGTGAAAGGAAGAAAGAGAGTTCTTTTTCTTGCCTTCTTCTGCTCTTCTTTGCTTAACTCATCTCCCACCAACCATATCTACATCATGTGTTACATATTTGTATGTAATGTTTTAATTATTTTGGTTATATAGTAATAATATTATGATTATTATGTTATTATCTAATGTCATTTGCAATTTACACATACCGTCGGGAAGTAATTCGTTGTGAGCACTAGATTTTCCTTACAATCATCTCTTAGGAATCTGGCTAGCGTGGAATGCTCTTCCTCACGTAACACCATCACCTATTTGTGGAAATAATTTATTAAGGATGACCAATTTTTACGAATATCTCTACAATAAGTATATATATTACAATACTTTCAAATGTAGAAAGCAGCATGAAACCAGATCACAAAACGAGATGCTAAATTGATTTGGACTCAAAGTAGGCCATGTGACATTGTTTACGTGTCAAAAGGTTTATATGAAACTTTCTTTGACTTTATAAAGGACATGGTGTATATGTTCAAGTTACTATATCGACACTACGTTTTGTTTTTATTTACGTTAGATCCTATCATTCCCACACGCAATTTAAGATTCTGTAAATATATATGAATAACTCTCCAAAAAATACATATAATTTTGTAAAGAGGTACCTTGATGCCATTTTGGCAAAGAGAAAAGACAACGGCACGAGCAACCTTTGTGATTTGGCCTCTAAAGAGAACCTCTCTGGTCCCAACGGGAATGCTATGGACAACCACCTCAGCTGCAAGGCTGCTTCCGTCCACTATCCTTATTTTTAACTTTGGATGCTTCCTTACATACATTTCTCCGTACCCATTTAACTCTTCTCCCTGATTTTTATTGTTATATATATAATATTATTCATAAGATTTTATGTGTAGGTCGCCTCTTAAATGGTATCAAAAACATAAGGATAACAAATAAATGTATTAATTGCATGCCTGGTTCAATAGCCCCAAACTCATTACTCTCACACCTTTCTTGTCCGCGTCAAGAATAGCCGCCTCTATGATATTGTTGATACGTTCTTTGTTCCGCTGCGACATGTACTGTTGATTGGCAAGTAAAACTTATCACAAAACGTGAAATTATTTGAGATATTTTTAGAGTCTAGAGAAGAGAGAGTAGAGGCATACATGAGAGGAGAACTTGGGAAGGAGGTGGGAGTGAAGTGTGAGGTCACGGAAGCGGTTTCTCTCAAAGACAAAGGTTCGAGAAGAGAGAGAAGTCAGAAGGAAGGAGAGTATTAGAGTGAAGGGTCTCATGAGGAACAGGTAGCACCGGGAAGAGAGCGGGTGCGAGGAAAGGGAAGCAAAGCCAAGCCGGAGATGGTAAATAGAGTCGAGTGATGTTAGGTGGGTGAGATAAATCGCGTCCGGCTTCTCTTCTTCTGGATCCAACGATGTTTCGTACAATGAGTCACTGCATTTGTCGTTTGTCCCGTAAATGTAGTCGTACATTGGCATGAACAGAGAGTAGTTCGTCCTAAATTGCGTGTGGTGGAGCGAGTGAAATCTGCAAACATTATATTATAGTTAGTCTCAAATTGTTTCAGTTTGGTATTTCACTAGTGTATAATATTTGTTTTGTGTTAAGTAATAACCAAAGTTCATTTGTGTGGATTGTAAACCAAAAAGGTAAAAACTATTTGGTAAAAAAAATTGTGAAAATTATATTATAACACACAAGAACTATAAACGTGTATAAAGACTTACGAGGGAGTGTAGCAGAGGAACTTAAGAGGAGGGAAAATAGAGAAGAAAGATTTTGGAATGAGCTCGAAGTTGCAGTGACCCAAGTTGTTCATGAAATCAATGTAAGTTATGTAGAGGACAACGGAGACGACAGAGACCGTGCCGCATAGCAAAGTCGTTACTAGAGGTATCATTAAGATTAGTGTATACCCAATATGCTCCGCAAACGGATGTACCACCGCTGAAATCAAAACCATGCATTATATTATGGACATATAGACATATGTCATTGTAGCAAATTCTTTTTTATTTAACACATTAGCCCCAAGTATATATTAATAAAAAAAATAGCAGAGAGAACATCATTCAAGAGTTTATTACTTGTTTCCGTAGGACTAATAATGTTTATATATGCATAATAGAAACAGAGAGAGTAATAGATAGTGCTTTTTATACAATTTTTATATGTTTTGTGAGGAAGTGTGTGTAAAAGTCATATGTGTACGTACAAGTGATGGGCTCGGTGACGATGGAGGAGTGGTGGTGTGAGTGGTAGCGAGAGTAGAGGAAGTGGTGGTGAAGGGCTCGGTGAAACCAGTAGTAGATGAACTCAACCGGACCAGCGTGGAGGAAAGCGACTAAGATCATTCCATCGGTTCGCCAGAAGGGAATGGTGTTGGTCCGTGTGACGAACACTTTAGTTAAGTAAAGAATGAGAGTGTTGAAGACGACCTGGTCGTCCCAGGATCGTTCTCGGTCGACTTGGTCAAACTCTATGGACTTGTTCACGATCCGTTTGGTTCCTTTGGCACTTCGGTAGCGTGAAAAACTTATCCAAACTTGACTATGAACAATCCGCCACACCGTCATGGCCACTATCAAAAGTTTCTCGTAATCTCTCGTGGTTGCAAATGAGTAGATGCTGTCGATAACCAGCGGGGCCAACACCAAGTACTGCTTTGTTTAATCCATATTTTTAGACAAACATTATGACTAATGATTGATATAAAAAAAAACATATTATACAAAGACGTTATGAAGCAAAAGGAGCAATAAAAAGAGACCTTAAAGCTTCCAAGAGGTGTCCATGGCCAGTCAGTAAGAAGACCTGGTCTCGACGCCATTCTTTCTTCTTACAATGATCGATGTAAGAAGACTCGGTCACGTCCTTCCAATATATATAGAAACACAGGCATAGATAAAATAGATATGGATCCACATTCACATGTGAGACTTCCTTTTTCCGTAAGTCTAATGAAAAGATAATAAAAGAAGAAGATAATACACCTACTAAGCTATTCATTTGGTGATCGTTACGAGGCCACATTCTTCATTAAATGTGCTTGAATCGGCACGCTTCCCCAATACTAAGCTATTCTTTTGACTACATAAACTTGGCATATTTTATTAGACCTTTTTCTTGCTGTTCTTTTATATTCTCTCCGTTTTTATTTGTTTTTATTTTTATGATGTTTTACAACAAATATTATAAAATGTCTATTGTAATTTTTTATATTTACTGTTTATTTTGTAATTTATCAATTAATATAAAGATAAAAGAAGTCTTTTATTAATAAATTTTGCTTTGGTTTGTGTGAATCATATATCTTAAAAAAAAAGAAAATATCATATTATTAAATACTCTATCTGTTTTTAAAACTATGATGTTTTAGGATTTTTACACATTTTAAAATACAAATTTCTAATGATTTTTTTTATTTATTGACTGCTTTTTATTTTTTTATTATTATTTTAATACTATTTTTCTCTTTTCAATTGGTAAAAGATTTCTTGTAAAATTAAATATATTAAATAAAATCTAAAACATCAAACTTTTAAAAACAAGAAAAAAAACTAAAACATCTTACTTTAAAAAAACAGAGAGAGTATGAAGAGAGTAGTATTTGTTTTATTGTATTGATCAAAATTGAGGATCCCAAATAGCATGGGCAATCGGTTTTCTTACATGTAAAGAAAGAGTCCATGTCTCTAAAATGGTTTCTTGTTGAGAATTAAAGGAGCTGCTTTTCCACCGAAGTTGGGGGTCTTTGTTTAATATATTTCTTCACAAACCATTTGAAAGGACTAACTATCTAGAAGTCTGAGGTTTTTTTGTTATATACCAATTCTAAAACATTATGCATACTTTTTCACAGCGCTCGAAATGATAAGCCATGCAGCAGGGAAGGGACAGCCGAAAGCAAATCGCTAATTGCCGATTTATAATAAGGTAGTAACTACTAGTACGATATAGTATAATATAAACAGCTGTATAGAATTTGAAATATACCGCACAATAATTAATGTTTTGGGGGATGATCATAACATATCTTATATGGTAAAACCTTGTATCTTTGGAGATTGGTAGTTAAATCTTTATACTCAGACACAATTGTGCTATACAATTAATCACGGATAAAATGAATTTATAATTCTTCTGAAATACAAACTACACTATCAATACTCAATAGTACGGCTATTTCCTCAGTAATCATTATCTTTGAACTCCCACATAATTTACAAAATTGTTTTTGTAATTCTACAGAAGTTTGAAGAATAAGAAGTATGATTCAAGGGCTTCGAGGGAGTTAACTCCAAGGAAAAGGGAGACATTAAGGGCCTTCGTTATGAGTTTGAAAAAAAAAATCTGCCCGTCTTGCAATGTTTAACCATTCCACCTCAATTCACTCATTTTTTCTACAGTATAAAACAGGTGAGGACTTATCTATATGTACCAAGAACCACCGCCTGGGAATTGGTCTTTCTACAGGCAGTCATCGTTGAGTTCATAGCTACTCTCCTCTTTCTATACGTCACCGTTTTGACAGTCATCGCCTTCAAGAGCTGGCGCAAGCATCGGCATCTCTTGGGCCTTGGGTGGCATGATCTTCATCCTCGTCTACTGCACTGCCGCATCTATGGTCTCTCTCTCTCTCTCCTTGTCTCTTTCCTTATACTAATATTTTGCATTATCTATATGTTTTACTTCCATTGTATTTTGTATAGCTCATTTCATCTTCTGTGTGTTTTCATATATTTAGCGTATAACACAAGGAAAAACCAGTCTAATAAGTGTACGTAGTCAAATGATTGGATATTTGGCGAGACTTTTTTTTAGGGAACCTGAGAGTCAAGGGATATGACATGGCACCAGATTCCAGATTACTCCTTGTCGGAAAACCTGGCAAGCACATGATGATGGGTGGTTCGTAAGTGAAAAGTTTCTGAGGAACAAACAATGTATGGAGGGAGAGAGAGAGAGAAAGAGATTGGTGTATGTTGTGTTATTTACCCGAGTTCTGGCATCTTCCGTTTTAAGAAGGCATCCGCATCCTCAGCCTGAGAGTAGCACTTGAGTCAGTGATGAAATTATATATGTATGATAGGTGAAAATCATGAAATGTATAACTTATGAAATGTATAACTTACTGCATCAAAGCTCGCAAATTCTGCTTTAATCTCCTTCAGTCCTTCCCTAGTATATACCCTCCGCACCCATGTACCGTCAGAAAGTACTTTTATTCCATAAGCACGCCTTGACTTATAAACAGGCGCCTTGAATTCTGCTTCTGTAAATGGCATAGCTATAGAACAAAAGTGGATTACAGTATCGTCTTAGTGGTATAAATAAACAAAGAGTGTGGATGACGAAACCAAGTATACGATAGGCCAAAGATCCAATTACAGTGGCTCGCAAATTAAAGAAATGGACACTAACTCGGGATGACGGATGTCTGCTCAGGCTCAGGTTCCTTCTTCATTGCACGTGATAAAGGGTCGCTCCTTCCGCTCATTGAGTCAAGACGTCAATCTCTATATCAATCAAGCCACCAACAGAAACTAAGTTAGAAAATGTGCGCTTATACAACAAAACCCAAGTTTCAAATCAAACAACTCAGCAATCACAGAACATCCAACCTATATTCCCAGTGAAAATATAACATTAACTGCAACATATCAATTTGGTAGAAAGGGGTACTAAAATCAATAAAAATTTGAAAATTTAACTGTATCGGAAACCAAACTCTCCAATCTATTACGTTCTGTCGTTAATTAATCCATACACATAGCTAGGTAATTAAAAGGAAACGCGACCGGAAAAAGGCAGGGTTCTTCCCGCCGATATAGTCGACGATAAGGTAAGCTTAGAAGAAGAAGAAGAAGAAGAAGGAGAATAGATTAAGCAGCGAGAGTCTTACCGCAGCAAAGCAAAGGACGATGTTGAAAAGAACCACTGACAGAAGAAAACCACAGGGGAAGAGACAAGAGTGAAACCCTAGTATATATATAGTCTTATGGGTCTTTTTGCAATCTTTTATTTTTTTACTAGAGGTTGGACCGTCTTGCAATGTTTAACCATTCCACCTCAATTCACTCATTATTTCTAGAGAGGTGAGGACTTTCTTGATCGTTTGCAACCGAACGTTGAGTTCCATAAACAGTAAATACTGCCAGAAGCAGCACAACGCATACTTTAGAAAGCTAGAAATTCTTGGTGGTCATTGGATCGAATCTATTTTGCTTAAGATTGTAGTATATCCAAATGCATATATGTCTGATCTCAATTCTCAAAAACCCTGGCCATAAATATTATTTAGACAAAAGGTTCTTAAATATAATTACATAGTCTTATATCGTCCAGATACTCTCTGTTACATATGAAATGCAAACACACACAAAACCGTTCTAATATTCAAAAACACACAAAAACCGCTCTAATATTCAAAGCACTCACCTACCACCGGAGAGTAGAGAATCAGCGATAGAAGATCCACCGGTGAACCCTCTAAAGACGGAGGATGAATACGACATCCCTAATTCGCTAAACCCGTCTTGAATCCCTAACATCATCCCACTCCCGGACAAATCCAACGGAGACAAATCCGGTAACTTTGCATCTCCTCTTAGATATTGTAGCACTTGTCTCATACTTGGTCTAGCTCGTGGGTCAGGATGAGAGCACAAGAGACCTAGCTTCAAAACCATCTCGACTTCCTTTTGGTCATACTCAGAACCCATGTTAGGATCTCTAGCATCCAAGATGTTTCCTTTGTTCCACAACCCGAAAACCCAATCCACAAGCAAGAACGTCTCGTCCGTCTCATGCTGGATCTCGATAGGACGTCTACCGCAAGCTACTTCCAGCAAGAACGCCCCAAACGCGAAAACATCTGTAGCGGTCGTGGCACGTCCTGTCCGAGTGTGCTCAGGAGCTAAGTATCCCAATGTTCCTACAACGTGCGTGGTCTGAGGATCCGAACCATGATCGTACAACCTAGCCAAACCGAAATCCCCGAGTCTACCGTTGAGCTCACCATCTAACAAGACGTTGCTGGCTTTGACGTCTCTGTGAATCACCACTTGTTCCCATTCCTCGTGAAGGTAGAACAAACCAGAGGCAACGCCTAGGATGACCTTGATCCTCTGTTTCCAATTGAGTGTTACCTCCGGATTGTTGTACAAGTACTTGTCTAAGCTTCCATTAGGCATGAAGTCGTACACGAGAAGAAGCTCTCCTCTCCGACGACAATAACCCAAGAGAGGGACTAGATTCCGGTGACTCATCCGACCAATACTCACGATCTCCGCCACAAACTCTTTCATCCCTTGTCGTGACTCGTGCGAGACTTTCTTCACGGCGATCTCCAGTTTCGTCCCAGGCATGACGCCTTTGTAAACGCTCCCGAACCCGCCCGTCCCGAGAACATCCTTCTCCTTGAACCCTTTGGTCGCGTAGTACAAATCCTTGAACCTGAATCTGTTCTTCCCAAACTCTTTTTCCCATTCTTCGTGCTCCTCTGCGAATTTCCTCCTCCTTCTCACGATGAAGCAGACGAGGAAGATCAAAGAGAAGATCAAAAACAGAGAAATCAAAGGCATCCCGACCTTGAAGAAATCGGAGATTCTCCTGGGCTCGAACCGAGGAAGCTTCGGGAGTCTCGATAAAACCAAAGGCGGAGCCTCGCCGTTCACACCAAAACTCCACCCGAGGATATAATGTTCCGACAGAACAGAACCGGTCGCAGAAGAGAAACCAACGAACATATCTTGGCGAATAACCGAAGAAAGATCTCTTACAGCCGAAACAAGCGGCTTTGTGGGTTTATCTTCGTCGAACGGAGCCATCGTCACATCGATTTTATGCGTACGACCATTGTAATCGACCCAAACTTGCATCGGCTTACGACTGATCAAAGTCAGATTCTTGAATTCTCCTTTCTTGTCCCACCAACCAGCCCGAAAACTTTGAACCGAATCCAAACTATTGATATCGATTCCGACATGGTTATCGTCGATATCATTAAACTCTGTACTCCGGATCGTATCCAGTTCGACAGCGAAGACCTGATTCGTTGCATTACCGTTGTTTGCGATGTTGAAGAGACCGATGTATTGGCTTG